GGCCAACAAATTTATTTTAACAGCTAACTATCGCCTTCGATTGCTTGACCTTCAACTGCGACCACTAATGATGGTCTCAGAATGACATACTATTCTTTATTAAGTCCTTGAGGGAGCCATCTTATCATTTCGATATTACCAGATTGATTTGTTACGTTTGTTCAGGCCAAACTCGTCCAGCCTCCCATATTAAATTGAAACACGTTTTAGTCGCAACCAATAAATCTACTCGAAACTTCTACTTTAATCACCTCCATCGCTTTGGAAATCCTTTTTCCTGTTTATAACTACGCTTCCGCTCCTCAATATACAATTCTACCTGAAATTCTTTTTATAGATTCGCAGGAATTTTAATTGTGCAGGGTTGGTCTTCACCATTCTGTAGATGTGACTAATAGCTAAGACAGATCTGCCCACTCAGCCACAACACCTGAATGCTGCTGTGCACAAAATGAGTGTTGGTTCTTGGACCTAATGGTCACCTATAGATCAAGAGTTGTGGTACACGTGTATGTGTTGCAGTCTTCTACACAGAAAATGTGATGATTTGCCATGCAGTCATAAAGTAGAAAACACCAATACTACTTTTACGAATGGTATTTAAGACAAGTACAAAGAGAGCAACAGTAGTGTGAAGTCATGCAGCTATTAGCAACATTTCTTCTTGCTTTATGCTTTATCAAGATCCACCAGCTCCCTCTCCTCTGGAGGAACCATCAGAAAAGGATACTGCAAATTCTTACTCCACCCAATTATCTTTTTAGGGTTTACTGGTAGCAGGTAACATGTTTCATCCTTTCGGGTGGTGAAGCTCAGTCCAAAGGTGTTGAGACTGTCGTGTCTTGTGAACTCAGTGTGAAGAATGGTGTCTTCAATTCCAACCAGTGGCTGGAGGGAAGATAAGAACTAATGTGGGCAGATGAACACTAAGGATACTATTCATACCCCGTCCTCAGCTGAAAACTTGGGATATTGGTCAGGGACTCCACGTTGATTCTCAATGATTGTGAGGTACCACCTGACTTTGCCCGGTGGAGGGTAGCCAACTATCTTCACCTTATTGCCCCCCACAGCCTCAATGTGAAAGAGCTCTGTGGAATTTGCATTATCAATAATGATTATCGAACATAGAGTGAGGGGATGTTCAATACATGCACAATCATACTTACTCAGGGAAAATGAAAATAGGAACATGATCAGTAGTGGTGTAAGGCACATGGTATGTATACAAGTGGAAAAATCATTTCTTCAAAATGAAGGGGGATGTAGGGATGGTGTAAATTATGAAAAAGGATGCCAACAAGAAGATGCTTCAGCCGACAACAAAAATCGTACATCCATCCCTACATCTTTCTTTCTTTTGCTCTGTATAAAAAAAAATGTGTGGTTACTTGTCATAGAGTATGTAAGATACATTATTCACAACATAATTATCACAGTAGAGGTTGTGACTGTAAAGAAAGATGTAGGGATGGATGTACGATTTTTGTTGTCGGCTGAAGCATCTTCTTGTTGGCATCCTTTTTCATAATTTACACCATCCCTACATCCCCCTTCATTTTGAAGAAATGATTTTTCCACTTGTTCCAGTTATTTTTTGCGCATACTCAGCCCCACCCTTTTCGGGCTGCAGAGCGAGGGGGGGGGGCTGCTTCGGCGCACACTCTGTACGCGACGCACGCACGGCGCGCGCTCCCTACCTTAGTTAGTACCGGCGGCCGGGTGACGTTGCAATTTTTACGCACTTGCGCGCGCCTCTCGCGCGTAGCGCGGGCGATGCGCAAGTGATGACACATCAACATAATGATAATGATTGTTGTGCAAGGAGTTCACTCTTTTGAAGTGGTCAACCCAGCTGAAGTCAAAGGTGGAGGCCAAAGAGCGTAGTGGATGTGTAGTAGAAGCTTGTAGGGTCCAGGTCTGACAAGTGCACAGCACCTTAGAACATAAAAATGGTATGCACCAATAAAAGAGTGAGGAATGCAGCCAAAATTATAGTATAGAAGGCTAGGATAGGGTTTTACAATAGCTATGTCAGCAGTGGTGATAAGGGCACAGGATGTGTAAAGTCAGCACGGTGATAAGGGCTGGGGAAAACATGCTCACAGCATATGCATGCATGCTCTGGGAAGTCATCAATTTCCTTCTCAAACCCAGCAATCAGTGCTGCATGCGCAATGGCTAGTTCCACCTCTAGATTAGGCCTCCTAAGAGCTGAGCATTGAATAGGAGTGAGCTTTTGATAGTTTTGCTCTACATTACAACTCAGGAGGGACTCAACCTGTGCGATTTGTAGCAATCTCTGGTGGTTACCGTTCTTCAAAGCATTGTCAATATCGTACACAATCCTGTGAGCACTCAGAGCAGAAGTCACGTGGGCCAAAAACCTCCTCAACACAGGGAAATGAGTGGAAGCTGCTCTGAGTATTCTCAGGGTACTAGTACAGTAGTCACCAGAGTAACAAACAATGGGGTGTCCTTTAAGGTCCACAGGCAGAGAACCCACTAATTTGGTGTAGTGACTATATGGGCAACCCATATCACATTCAGCCAAGGCCTGTCTTACTTTCTCAACAGGCTGCTCAAAAGCTGCCCTAAAACATACAATGGCATTGACCTCAAATTCACTTAGTGGTTTGCAGTGTTTTGAGCACTCCCATAACTTAGACTGGGAATGTCCCTTATCAGAAACTTTCCCATCTGAAACACAACCCACACTCCCAGCCTGAGAAAGGTTACTGTTGGAGGCAGCATCTTTACCTTCTTCATTCTTACTGCCAGCCTCCATAGGCACTTCTTCAGCAACAACACACTCCCCCTTCTCATTGACAGGGATTGCGGACTCTCCCACATGCAGGTAGGCTGCCTCATAAAAGAAGGGCTCTGTCAAACTAGTGTGGCAGCCTTTTCCGAAGTCAATGTGTTCTTTAAGTGTAATAGACTTTATGAGTTTAATGCTAGCCAGCAAAAACCCCGCATGTTTCCTACGTATTTGCAACAACAGCTTTCTTTTTATCAGGATCAGCACAATATAAGGCCCTAACAACAGCCTTCTTTTTATCAGGATCAGCACCATATGAGGCCCTAACAGCTGCCTTCTTCTTTTTAGGATCAGCATGATAGGAGGTCCTAGCCACCACCTTTATCTTATCAGGGTCTGACCAATAAAGGGATCTACCTCTAGCTTTTATTTCCTCAGAATTCAGCACATAATATCTCTTGGCACATGCCCTCTTTTTTATTGGGGAGCGGTAAGGCATTTTCCCAGCAGCAAAATTGAACTTATCTGAGCCCGGGTGTTGTTGTCTTGGTTGTTGTCCTGGGTGTTGTCTTGCAGTGACAACTATCAGCAAACCAGTGGTAGATGGCACAAGATCCCAGACGAAAGAATGAAAGAACCGGGTGTGGTGTTTTCAGTATCAACGACTCTAGAGGGCGAGGTGGAAAAGTAACAAAAAGAGTGGGAACCGGTATAACGACGACAGCAAAGCAGTTGAGACGGTTTGCGAAGAACCGGGTGTGGTGTTTTCAGTATCGACTCAGTTACAGCTCGAGGGCGAGGTGGAAAAGTGACGAACAGAGTGGGGACAGGTATCGATAAAGACAGCAAAGCAGTTGAGGCAATTTGCGACTCAGGACCAGTGCACCACGAACTCCAGGAGAGTGCCTCAGGGCCGGTGGGTACACCCAGGCACGAAGGAGTGTCGTGTAGCACCTCCAAATAAAGAGCTAATGGCAAATGGGGCAAATGAGAGACTGAATGGAGACAGTTTGCAGAGCTTACATTGAAAACGAAATGAGTAGCTGTGGCCCCAACTCCAGTCGAAGTTAGTAGTAGCAGGGGCCAGTACAAAAACACCGGATGAGGTGTCGACGTAACGCATGCACCTCAGAGGTAGAAAGTTAATAATACAGGATTATACCCAATATGTTTTGTAATACCAACACTTACTTGTGAACAAAATCAGCGTGGTACACGAACTATCTCCAGCTCAATTAGCAGAGCAAAAGAGACAGACACCAAGTGTCGACGTATGGAACCAGGACAGAGGAAACACCGATCGTACCAGACTCGACAGAAACGGTAAACCCGGGCGAAACGTTGTCACGAAAAACACGGCCAGACGGAGCTCGACGGATTATGAGAGCGAGCAGAGCAGAGCCGCGACCACGCGGTCTTTTATCCCGCGTCGCGCGCAGCAGGGCGCCGGCCCGGAGTGGGGGTGGGGTCTGAATCGACCGTGAAAATGGCGTCGTTTTCTGTGAGCAATATTGTACGCTAGATCTTCCGTAGCGATTGGCAGCAAGAAAACGAACATCGCTTGACGACGTTGCAAACCTCCACCATAGCGGGGTACGTTTAATGGGAAAATCAGCGCTTCAACTTGTTCCGGTAAGGAGAAATCGGGTCTAAAGAAGAAGAAGAAGAAGAATAATATGATGACAAGAAAATTGTGAAATCGCGTATGAGCGGATTTCGGTAGTAAGATTTTAAGGGACATAGGAGACATTTTAGGCATATGTATAGGTAGATAGGGGCCCGTGAGTAGTGTTTGGAGTATTTTGAAGGCATAGCTAGGCGTTCTGGCCGAGTTTTGGAGGCTTTTGTACGCGGATCACGTGACATTTCACCCGTGCCATCCCTACATAGAGCGTCTACCGACGCTCTGATACACCGTAGGTATGGGTATCAGGAAACTAACAGTAGCACCCATTGGTATCAGGCCAAAGTTATTATCCCCAAAGACTACCCACATGCAAAAATTGGTAGGGAAAATCGACCTGCGTGTGGGCTTATAGAATAGTGGAACAGCAAGTGTTTTCAGCCGAAATGCCGCCAGCCACCTGAGAGAACCTCCTTACCAGGAACCTAACTGCACCCATTGCTGCCAATAGCCGAAGGTGAAACAAAACCTACCAGACACAGAGACCTAGGCAGGTAAAGCCCTGATTGTTCTGAGTATTACTGTGCTGCTCAACTATATCTTCCACTCTAGCTACAAGCAGAGTTAGCTACACGTTCTTTCACCCAGCTTCTGGGGCTCTTGCACTCCTACATCTACAAAATTTTTTACTTGTATAGTAAAAGGTGTGGATGGGGATATCCTCTCCAGGCAGTTAGCTAGGTATTTAGAGAATGTTAACCCACTCATGCATGATAGCCATTGATCTAACACCACACACACCAAGTGTCTTATGCTTAATTGGGTCAATAAGCAAAGTAGTACAATACTGTCAGGAATGCATACATCGCAAGTAAAGTTCACACAGACCGGAAACATGGTGGTAGTAAGGGCAGTACTGGCATGGGGGTGCTGCCCCGTCACTTGTGTCCAATAACCATACTTTCCGATACGCTATGTTTGCTGGGCGTAATGGGCACAGGTCACAGAACTATCTACTGAGCTGGAAAGCTCACTGTAGATACAATAGCTGCTAGGCTCCCAAAAACCATTCAATGTGATGGTAGAATGTTTGCCCCAATGGTTTTATGAAGGGTGTTGCTGCTATCATAATCCAATGCCATGCTCGAATATTGAATTTGGGAACCAGGGTGGTCCTATAACAGCCATAGTAGCTACTATGAAATAAAACAGAGTTCAAGATTCAAATGCTGTTAGCCACATGCAGTTACATAGCTATACTCCTTTGCCCTGTTAGCTATGTGGGGCTCAATGCTAAACATTGTAGCTAGCAATTTCAAAGATCAAACATTTCCTTGTTAAATTTTTAAACACACTCAACACACGAACCTGAAACATGGGGAAATGAGCTACCGGCATGAAAACTCCAGTAACACAGCAAAGATGCACAAAGCTACATGACACCATCCCTATATCTTTGTGTTATTGTTCACAACCAATCACGCCCTGCTGACATTTTCCTCCCTAATTGGGAAAGAGCCGCGCTTGCCGTGTCTGTCATTTCCACTCTGCAACAGTTTTACCTTGAAGCAAAGTTTAATATGAGACAAAGATATAGGGATGGTGTCATGTAGCTTTGTGCATCTTTGCTGTGTAATGACCCCTTGTTTCTTCCTTTTTGGTGCTTCAAGCCATCCCTATATCCCCCTTTCATTTTGAAGAAATGATTTTTCCACTTGTACATCTGTAAATTACGTACAGTGTGCAACCCTTCAATACTGCAGACCATAAGTTATTCAGATCATGTTCAAAAGCGTTGATTTTTCGTTTACACTACTTTCTGTGCTGAATGAGAAGAAAAGCCTGAGGTGTTTGAAACAACTTGCTCGTACACCTCTTGATAGTCGAAGAATGTAGAAAAATAGGAGCAAAAGTGGATATAGAATTAGGACAGGTGCTAAAATTAAATACGCCCTGTCAATATTCGATGATAACGAGTGTAAACCTTTCCCATGAAGCTCCCATGCCGAATTAACAGCTAAGCACATAATTGCTATTGCTGTGATGTCAACTTTTGTATACTTTTGCTTCTTGTAAGGCTGCATGGTTGCTAGCAGCACTATCATCCCAAGTAGTGCAAGTGTCAAGACAAACGTGCTGAAAAAATTGTTAACACTATGAACCCAACATGCATTGCTAGCCGTAGAAAAAGATAAAGGGCAGAAAACCAGCGACAGTCTCTTGTTCCATTGTACCATCTTTAAAACAACCTTGGAAAGAGTTCATGAAAAAGTGTAAAGCAGTGCTGTTACAGTGGAATCTGTTGAGAAGTCTCTGGAACCAGTGACAGGGATACAGACACAGAAGAATGATGGGGAGAATATTAAATGCCAGAAGAACTGCAATCGCCATTATTGCATAAGGAAGATGAGTTTTTCCAAAGAATTTCACGGTGCCATCATAGTACAGTGCCACACCTTCTACTTCTGCTCTACTGTTCCACAGAACGGTAGGTGTTAGTAGGTCCAGGGAAACACTCGATATCTTGACATACGAGAGGAGCAAAAAGGTAGCAAAGGCATCGACAAGCGAGTTCTGAATATCCCACTGCCTTCTACAGCGAGCAAAGCAATAGACGAATGGTTTGCAGAGCCACAGTACGACTCTAACACCGTTGTAGTGGAGCCTGACTAGGGTGTAGGTGAGGACGATGAGGAGGAGAGGAGAGAGGGCTGTGAGGTAGTCCAGTGAAAGAATCTGTAGCATTGTAGCTCTTGGATGGAGACAGTACGGCATGTATATGAGTTTAAAGGCATCGAGGTTCCATATTGCATAATGAAGCAAAATACAGAACTAGCGCAAAATTTCCATCTACCTCTGTTTTATGACTGTGCACTATTGCACGAATTAGCACCGGTGATGTTAGAATTTGACATGCAAATATGTATCCAGTCACTTGCGGAGCAAGAGCGCTAAACCTAAACACTGCAATTGCTATGAGGAATGGGATAACTGGGAGGAGGGAGGAGGCCAGGTATTTGGGCCAGTTATTAGTTCCAGGCCTACATCTGACGCACTGTGGATAGTAGGAATAGACAGGCGGAGAGTAGCCATCCATACATTGACCACACAGTTGACCTACTCTGTTTGTTTGTCCACAGAACACCGCAGTTATATTTCTAGACACTAGCTGATAATGGCAATGAGGTGGGCAGTGGTGATAATGATATGGACATGCACCAACAACAGCACACTCACATTAATTTTGTTGCTGTCATGATTGTACTGAGACCAGTATGGGCAGGCAAAATCATTTGGCTGCAGACTTGTTAGTGCAGCAACCACAATGAGAGAAGTGAAGAGAATCAGCAATATTGACACACTGAAGGTTGATTTATTTTCCATTAGAGAAGAGAGTCAGACGCACGGCAGCTATGTAAAGCTACACACAAACTCTGACATGTCTTGAGCAGCGTCAAGCAGCATAGTTTCATTCTCGAGGGGACACTTTTATAACGTTAGCTATTCCTTGGCATTGCCGAAACCCTCGGCGCGCACGCGCAGCGAGGGCTACTGTAGTAAACACATACTAATAGCCCAGCCCATCAATTAGCGGTATCGCACAGGCACAGTTCGCCGAGGATTTGCACATTAGTGCTTCTTCATTGTTTATGTTTTTTCCAACCCTTAAAGTAAACTTTCATGTCGTACTGAAAGTAAACGCTCATGTTATGACACCACAGATGCACTTTTACAGTGAAACAGAATTGTAGCTAAACGTCAGAAGTTATTTCTCAAACATTCCCTACTATAGTTGTCAAAAGTCAAACAAGCCTGCTTTGAAATCCTCTGTTTCAATGTAGTTTGCAATTCTGTTTCAATGTAAAAGTTTATCTGTGGTGTGGGTATTATAATAATCCATAACAGAGCAGCTTGCAGGAATGTAGGTTTTAGGAAAGAGTATAGGTAGCCCATAATAAAAAAAACAGCTCTGAAAATGAAGGCTAAAAATTTACAACAGTTATATCTTATCAGTCTAGGTCAATGCGTTCTCCTGCCTTCTTTCCTAAGCTGCTCCCATCTCTGCTGGTTGTCAGTCAGAGCAGTGTACGCTGCACTGGCACTGGGCAACAGCTGCCCCAGAACCCTGGAAATACACACAGTCAAATAGGTTTAGGTGCACCATCTGTTTTCTTACTGTAACACTACTGTTAATGTAGGAATTTCTTTACTCAATGAATAAAACTAGGATGCATACGGCATACATACCACGTAGGTCTTCAGCTTTTCACATTATTCCTTATCATATCAGCCACTCGCATGCAACTAGCAATGGTGCAGCAGCTAGGGTATTTTGAACGAATTTCAAAGCATTGAGAGAGGTAGTGTGTTTGGATAGGTTTACAGTGCTACTGACTTGAAGACAGGGCCAGCAATGCTGTCCATGAATCCAATCTGCTGTGTTGGAATGAATGCTTTGTCGTGATCCATCATCTCACTCGGTGTTCCTCCTAGCGCCTTCTCCTGAAAAATTCGTGATTTTTAATGCTCTAGTTACGTCACAAATAGACTTACCAAATCGCCTTGAGTGAAAAACTCCCTGTATATCATTTCCTAGAGAGTGGCATGAAGGTACGTAGGTTCACAGTGTTTGTAAGTATGAAGTATGATATCTTACGGCAAAGGACTTTGCTGTGTCCCATTCCTTGCAAGTGTCTGAGATATCGCAGATGTCATCAGCAGAGAGCACATCGACTTGTTTTCATGTTTCTCATAAAACTTTGGCAACGGAATCAATACTATGTCTAATCTCACATTCACATTTGACCCAGCTACGTAAAGCTACACAAACTCTGACATGTCTTGAGCAGCGTCAAGCAGCATAGTTACATTCTCGAGGGAACACTTTTATAATGTTAGCTATTTCTTGGCATTGCCGTATTAACCCTCGGCGCGCATGCGCAGCGAGGGCTACTGTAGTTGTCGGTGTGTCTGTCTGTCTGTCTGTCTGTTCCACGACATCTCACTTCACGAGCCATGAAAAACAGGCCGGGTTCGCTCTCTCTGTGTATCTTGAAGGCACAAGAAGCCACAACGAAGGTCGTGTATCGAATCCCGCATGGTATCTACTGCTGTAGCAGCCGTGTCAGACTCCTTCCGCGAGCTACTAGCAGGAGACCACGAGTAAACGCATACTAATAGCCCAGCCCATCAATTAGCGGTATCGCGCAGGAGCAGTTCGCTGAGGGTTTGCACTTTAGTGCTTCTTCATTGTTTCTGTTTTTTTTTATCCTGAAAGTAAACTTTCATGTTGTACTGAAAGTAAACTTTCATGTTATCATAGATATGACACCACAGATGCACTTTTACAGTGAAACAGTAAGTAAACCGAGTTCCAAAAATCAAGAATTACCTATTATAGTTGTCAAAAGTCAAACAAGCCTGCTTTGAAATACTCTGTGAAAATGCAGTTAAGGAAATAGTTTACAGGTTAAAAAGTAAACTACTTCTGACATTTACAATTCTGTTTCACTGTAAAAGTTTACCATCATTATCCATAATAGAGCATTTTGCAGGATTGTAGGTTTTCAGAAAGAGAATAGGTAGCCAATGAATAAAAATAGCTATGAAAATGAAGCCTAAAAATTTACAACAGTTATGTCTTATCAGTCTAGGTCAATGTGTTCTCTGCCTTCTTTTCTAAGCTTCTCCCATCTCTGCTGGTTGTCAGTCAGAGCAGTATACGCTGCACTGGCACTGGGCAACAGCTGCCCCAGAACCCTGGAAATAGACACAGTCAAATAGGTTTAGGTGCACCATCTGTTTTCTTACACTACTGTTTGTCTAGGAATTTCTTTACTCAATGAATAAAACAAGGATGCATACGGCATACATACTACGTAGGTCTTCAGCTTTTCACATTATTCCTTATCATATCAGCCACTCGCATGCAACTAGCAATGGTGAAGCTGCTAGAGTATTTTGAACGAATTTCAAAGCATTGAGAGAGGTAGTAGTGTGTTTGGATGGGTTTAGAGTGCTACTGACTTGAAGACAGGGCCAGCAATGCTGTCCATGAATCCAATCTGTTGTGCTGGAATGAATGCTTTGTCTCGATCCATCATCTCACTCGGTGTTCCTCCTAGCGCCTTCTCCTGAAAAATATAACAATTCGTCCATTTTTTTAATGCTCTAGTTACGTAACAAATAGACTTACCAAATCGCCTTGAGTGAAAAAACACCCTGTATATCATTTTATAGAGAGTGGCATGAGGGTACGTAGGTTCACAGTGTTTGTAAGTATGATCTTTTACCGCAATGGACTTTGCTGTGTCCCATTCCTTGCAAGTGTTTGAGATATCGCAGCTTGTCATCAGCAGAGAGCACATCAACTTGTGGTGGTCACTATTAGTTGCATCGTAACCATCTGCAATGCAATTTAAAAACTCTAGGCACATTGCCTACCTTTTCTCAAGCCTTACTGACTTGAGCACGTCGCATGTGCATTCTACATAGCTAGGTATTATACACATCAATTTTCACACCTTTGCCCATTTGTTGAATGTCATTCATTTTACGGAGATGAGCAGCAATATCTGTGTCTAGGATGTTGCTCTGCATTAGGTCCAGCACTTGTTTATACTCCTGTACAAAGGTACCAACACAGACTCTCATGTAGTATTCACTGGCAGAGTCATGTTTACCTCAGCACCCAGATTGGCGAAAATGTTGCATCCTTCTGAATTGAGGACACATAGTGTTTGTGCAAAAATATCTCACGTGTGCTGGATATACCTAAGGTCAGTAATTTACATTGCGATTTAGGGGTATAGGATATTTTGTGTGTTCTCAAGAGTTGTAAAGACTAAAGATTAAAAACCACTAGATTTGGCTCAAGCACAGGTTGTTTTCAGAACAATAATCAAAACTAATAAATGGCCGCACACACACACGATAAAAAATTTATGTAACACCTCTACAGTTCTTGCTGATGGATCGGGGTGTGTAGGTAAAGTTGCAATGGCTTCGCTGAACTTAGTACATTCCACAATGTCTTTGGTGGCAAATTTTTCAACCTCTTCTGCCGACACCTACGTGTAATGGCAATCTCATCATTATGCATATATTATTATAGGCCATCGCTATTTATACCCTATAGCTTAAGACTGACCTGCATGTGGTACAACATGAGCTCAGTGGAGAGCTTGCTGTTGGTCTGTGTTAGCTCAAGTTTGCGGTATAGTGTAGCCTGTGACAAAATAACACATGGTACATATGTGGTTATGTAAGCTGTGTAATCCTCTGTGGTCAATTTCGTGGCAGAGGCAGGAGAAGAAGAGAGCCAGGACCTCCAGGTCCGTCAGAAAGGAGAGGTGGTCAGTGTTTAAGTCTTGGCAAAGCACAGTGTCAACAAAGAGATTCCAAAAGCACCATCTCACAGTTTCAGCATCCCAATGTCCGCCACTGTGTGAGGCAAAACATTTGTTGTTTTGAACAGCGCATAAACAGGGGGTAGATAGCTTTGGTTGCAAGAAGTGTAGGATATAGGATATAGGATATAGTAACCAGTTCACCAAGTGCCCGATACTCGCTCATCCTTACAAAAGCTCTGGTTGTGGGGTACACAGAAGCCCTGGTTGTGGGTACAGTCACATAGAGGACTTTCCCACTCTCACACAGGATGTTATTCGTGTGTGTCTCCTTGTGCCTATACTTATTATCAAGAGAAAACTCCCACAGTAACGAGAGGAAATTGTGTGTGGATGAGAAGTCTGATTCATACGTGGATCAAGCTGTAGGTATTCTTCAGCTATGCCTAATATGATATATATCTGGCAGAAAGGCACATTAACAAATAATAGATGTCTACAAGCAACAACAACAGTCGCGTGTGCAACTCCATTCATGGCACACTGCTCGAGGTTAATTACGTTAAGACACGTCCTTCATTCCTGCATTTGGAACAGAATCCACTCGTGAGGGGTAAAATAATATTAGTTCGCTCGAAACTGTCTCTAGTTATGATGATGTGCTCTTGGAAAGCTATGGCTATTTTTGGTTTCTTATCATAAGGCTACATATTATGTGTAAGGTTCTCGTTGGAAGGTAACAATATTTCTCTCTTGAGCATGCGCAGTACACATGAGGTAATGCACAAATGAGGGTGTGGCATAACTGTGACAGTGCATAGGTTTAGTACGGTGACACGGTAGGACGTATGATAGGCTACATTACTACATAAGTATAGAGGCACGTGAAAGGCTTTTACATGCAAGTGTATCAGTGGACTCAAATGTTAGGGGCTTAACTATAACTTATGTACATTGCAAAGGGTTGGAGTTAGAGAAATGATTGACCATTCCGTCTGCTAGTGAGTATTTGCAAAAACTCAGGGTTCAAATAGTGTACTTAATTGGCCTGCTGTATAATTTTAACAGCCACAGTCACCTTGTGTGGAATCCAGTACTCATGTCAATTTCATCTTTGATGTTGACTATCTCTCCTAACAAAAAGCAGAGGGTCACGTTGACTAGTAAATGCTTGAAAATTCTGAAAACCAATGGTTTAATAATTTTATTAACATCAATGTTTCAATGCATGTCTGGTAGTTTGATTACAAGGGCTTTTGGGACTAACATCATGAAGATATCAGATAGCGGTTAGTACATACAATGGTTTGACTTCTAACCACACACTGGGTAGGTGCAACATGTAGCTACTCAAGGTATGCTCGTGTCATCAGCTTGCTGTCTACTTCAGTCAAGTATGGTGAAATCTTTTCAACAAATACACAACATTTTGACTTCGCAGTCTTTCTCAAGTGTGATGATCGTGCAAGGAAGTTGGTGACAAACAGGTTAAGGTGAAATGCATTGTCTAAGAAACTGAAGGCTTAGATGGAATGCTAAGAACAAGGGGTCTAAAACCATAGGCAAATAATAAATAAGAAGTACAAAAGGATAAAATGCTCAAAACCCAACGGAAAAATAATAAAAGCTAAAATTTAATAGGAAAAAGAGAACGGGAAAATAATATAATGGATAAAAATCAATCCCTCAATCCCACAATCACTCTCATTTTTCTTTTATATCACTAAGTACGGTAGTACTTAGTACAAGTGGAAAAATCATTTCTTCAAAATGAAGGCGGATATAGGGATGACTCAAAACATGAAAAAGGAAGAAACAAGGGGTCATCACACAGCTAAGACACACAAAGCTATACATGACACCATCCCTATTCTTTGTCTGAGGTTTTTTGCCCATGAATAAAATAGACAAAAGATATAGGGATGGTGTCATGTAGCTTTGTGTGTCTTAGCTGTGTGATGACCCCTTGTTTCTTCCTTTTTGGTGCTTCAAGCCATCCCTATATCCCCTTCATTTTGTAGAAATGATTTTCCCACTTGTTTGCACTATTTTTAACAGCTTATGACAACACTGCATTTATTGTTACCGTCACTCTGATGTTCCCTATCCCTATATTGTTGCCTAGGTGAGTATTAAACATTCAACATTACACAATAGTCTGGACTTACAGCTTGAAAAAACAAAAAAGGCATACTATTGAGTAACCAAGAGTACAAATGGAGTTTACGAGTGGCACACCAGGCATCAATAATTACAAGTGGAAAAATCATTTCTTCAAAATGAAGGGGGATATAGGGATGGCTTGAAGCACCAAAAATGAAGAAACAAGGGGTCATTACACAAAGCCACATGACACCATCCCTATATCTTTGTCTCATATTAAACTTGCTTATGAACAATAAAAACAAAGATATAGGGATGGTGTCATGTGGCTTTGTGCATATTTGGTGTGTAATGACCCTTTGTTTCTAGTTCCTTTTTGGTGCTTCAAGCCATCCCTATATCCCCCTTCATTTTGAAGAAATGATTTTTCCACTTGTTTCCACTATTTTTAATGGCTTATGACAACACGGCACTTTCAGTCACTCTGATGTTCATGGGTAGCTATGTTGTAGAGATAACTGTTGAAAGCAGAAGCTAATGGACTGCTCTTACCTGAAGCAGGGTGTATGCATAGTGTCTCCAACAAGGATGCGATTAGGTTGTGGCACATATGGTGGCGGTTTCATTGGGCAGGCTTCAGAAATCAGACTACAATGATAGCTATAACCTGGGGAACAAAGAATGAAGGCGCCTGGCAAGGCAGGCGTAACA